GAACATTTTTCCATGTATTTTTGGCCATTTGTGGTTATTCTTTTGAGAACTGCCCATGAATTTATTTACCCACTTACTGATTGGTGGACTCTGGTTTTGTGTGTTTAATTGTTGAGTTCTTTATAGATTCTATGTATTAATCCCCTCATAGATGTGTAGCAGGCAAAGACCTTCTCCCATTCACTCTGTACTCTCTTTTCTCTGCTGCTGCCTTTGATGTGTTGAAGATTTTAATTTCCTGACGTGTTTCATCAATCTTGCAATTGCTTCCTGAGCTATTAGAGACTTTTGCCCAGGACTGTATCTTGAAGAGGCTGGGTTTTGTTTTGCTTTGTTTTTTTTGTTGTTGTTGTTTGTTTTGTTTTGTTTTGTTTTAAGATGCTCTTACTTGCTGTGTAGCCCTTGTTGGCTGGTAACTCCCTATATAAACCAGGCTGGTCTCAAACTGCCTACCTCTGCCTCCTGCCACAGCTATTAAAGGTGTGTTGACACCACTCCTGGCAGGTACTTTTGTTTGTTCCGTTCCCAGCACCCATGTCACTATGCCAGGCATCTTACAACTGTTTGTAACTCCAGGTCTGGGCCTCTGACACCATTTCTTATTTGTGGATATTGTACTTATACATATACCCACACATAACCACACAAACGCACAAACTTTTAAAACTAGGAGGCTACAACTGTGTGTTTGTTTTTGTGTCCTCTAGTCCATTGTTTTGTTTTGTTTTTAAAGATTTATTTATTATGTATAGTGTTCTGCTTGCATGTATGCCTGCACACCAGAAGAAGGCACCAGATCTCATTATGGATGGTTGTGAGCCATCATGTGGTTTCTGAGAATTGAACTCAGGACCTCTGGAAGAGCAGCCAGTGCTCTTAACCACTGAGCCATCTTTCCAGCCCCCTCCATTGTTTTGTGTAAAGTGTCATGCCATTTTGTCATTATGCCTCTGTAGTGTAATTAGAAATGAGGCATTAGTGACCTTTTCAGCATAACTGCTGTGGCCTAGAATGGCTTTTTCACCCCTAAATTTAATTATATTACCCAAGGCCTTAGCTCTAAATACAGTCACTCTGGGAGTTACCTCATCACATTTCAACTGGGGACGGACACAATTCAGTCTAAGGTCTTTTTCTCAGTGTATAAAACTGAATTCAGAATAAAGGCTAAATATGAAAATAAAACTAAGATTAAGATAAAGAATAAAGATCTCTTGTAAGAGTAAAATTTTCCATGGATAAGGTACTAAAACAAAAAGTATAAGCAGAATTTTTGAAGAGTTTAACCATCTCAAAACTCAGGCTTTCTTTAAATAGAGGTCACCAAAAAAATTAATAAAATAAATACATAGAGGTCACAATTGGATTATAGTATGATAGTCACATCTAAAAGATTTATTATCTGTGAAATTAAAAGAATTTCCAAAGAATCAGTTGGGGGGGAGGACAAGAACCACGGCCCCACATTCACACCCATGCTGGCAAAGACCACAAGCAGGCAAATCCCAGTAATGGTAACAAGAGTGATTATGAGATGGGAGGAGAGAGGCTCACCTTGGAGATAACAAGAAGTTCCACATCAGTTGGGAACATCGATGCCTAGTTCTGTCCGTTGCAATGATGGAAACATGAAGTGAACAGTTCGAATCTTTGGCCTGGGTATAGAGGGAAATCTTTGCAGGTGGGAACCTCGAAAAGCAAAGCAGCATGGCAAGATCTGGTCCATAAGCTGGTGTATGCCCTGAGACCAGTACATCCAGAGCTAGATGAATACAAGGGTGTCCACTGGAGCATTGTTTGCAATCAACAAGAAGCTGCCAGCAGCCCAGGGCACTGTGAGGATTAATATTATCAACTTCAGGCTCTAGACTCACCAGGAGATGAGCCTAAGGACATGCCGGGAGGGATTGTCTGAGGCAGATTAGTGTGGAAGACCCATCTTCACGATATGTATCCTCATCCCATGTGCTGGGGTTCTTGAGCCAAATAAAGAGGAGAAAACGAGCTAAGTGTGAGTGGTCACCTTTCTTGGCTTCCTGCTACAGACTCAGTGTGACTGCTGCTCACCCTCTTGCTTCCATGACTGCTCCACTGTGGATGGTGCCCTAGAACTGTGAGCCAAAGGGGACCTTCCTTAAGCCACCTCTGGAGAAACAGGAAAGCTAAATGTGGTGGGTGCACGCACCTGTGTGCACCTGTGGGATTCCATGAGCAGGAAAACATGACAAGAGTGATGGCAGGGTAAAGACACCCCTGACATCTTGTATCAAGACAGCAAAGAGTTCCCATCCATTGTATTTCTGCTAGCAGTTCCCCGGCCAAGCCTCCATTGTGCAATGAGACCCAGCTCAGAGGTGACTAGAGAAAAAGGAAGCTATGGATAGGGGATGTGTCAGAGATGTCTGGCCTACAATCTCATAGACATCTGCTAAGTACTGCCGAGAATTCCACATTCACCACATTTCACTCTGATGTTTTGGGGTAGAGCAGCCATATTGTGACTAAGTGGAAAAGTAGGAGAATTCCAGACAAGGCCCTGGCACCATCAGAGATCTCTTAACCAATGCCAACAACTTGCTATTCCTGAATTTTTTTTTCCCTGTGAAAAATAAAACTCTATTTGCTAAGCCACATGTATCCGTTAGAGTGCAGTGGCAGACAACAAAAATACCACTGGCTAGTTCAAGCAGAAAGGGCTGGAAACGCAGGCTGTAGGTCTGAAGCAACCGCCAGCTTTGGCAGTCACATGACTTCTGCCCGTGATTGAGAAATCCACAGTCGGTACTACAGGAAGCTGGCAAATCAGGAAGCTGCTCGTAGAGCCCGCCTGTGCTGCCATGGTCTGTCTCAGAAAGCGGGTGTCCTGTGCTACATAACTCTGCTCCAAATTTACCAACACAGAGCACAAAGCCCAGACCCACAGCTCCGGGAGGCTGGGAAGTGCTGACTTAGCAGTTTGAGAGAAAGACCACAGGAGCATTGGATGAAGGCCCAGAGTCCAGCCCAGACAGAAGTCCCACCATCCATGTCAGTTCCACTACCACACCCCTTCAAGCTCCTAATTGTATGTGACCTCACGAAGACAGGTCTTTGAATCACACAGGGTGGAAAACAAACAAGAAATGCTGTAGCATAGTTAGAAACCTGTTTAAGTTGCCAGGCAGTGGTGGCGCACGCCTTTAATCCCAGCACTTGGGAGGCAGAGGCAGGTGGAGCTCTGTGTTCGAGGCCAGCCTGGTCTACAGAGTGAGTTCCAGGACAGGCAGGACTATATAGTGAGACCCTGTGTCCAAAAAAAAAGAGAAAAAACAAAAACAAATACACAGGTCAGGTGTGGTGCTGCACACCTGTGATCCCAACACTTGAGAGGCAGAGGCAGGTGGAGCTCTGAGCTTAAGGCCAGCCTGGGCTACATAAGAGAGTTTCTCAAAACAAGCAAAAGACCAATAAAGCAAATACAAGAACCCAAACAATAAACATGTTCTATGATTATTATATTAGCACCAACGGGTAAAGAGAGGAGGAGAAAGCTGCAGGAACCAAATGTCAGGAGAAAACAATATGAAGCCAGAAAGTGAAGTCCCCCAGTGTGGAGAGTGCTATAGTCTGAGCTCCAAGTCATTCAACTTATTAATTCCAAAAATGACAGTACAGACCTATTATTACTTTAATGTCATGTAAATATATCATGTTTTACTTACCACTTCAAATATAATCCATTAAATTTAACACATCATAATTTTTATAACCCTAATTTGAAATTTCTCCCCCCCCCCCATAGGGTTTCTCTGTGGCTTTGGAGGCTGTCCTAGGACTAGCTCTTGTAGACCAGGCTGGCCTCGAACTCACAGAGATCTGCCCGCCTCTGCCTCCTGAGTGCTGGGATTAAAGGCATGCACCACCACTACCCAGCCTGGAATTATTTTTTAAAACTTATTTTTATTTTAATGTTTCTCCTTATAGGTATTTTGGTAGTAAGCCTGTGAGTGCAGTTACCTACAGAAACCAGAAGAGGGCATTAGATTCCAGGCACTGGAGTTATAGACAAGCTGCCCAGTAGGTGCTAGGAACTGAACCACAGCCTCTTTGAAGAGCAGCCAGTGCTCTTAACTTCTGAGCCACTTCTCCAGTCTTCTGACAATCCTTTATGTTTTAATTTCCTTGAGTAAACCCTGGAGCCCACCTCCCCATTCATGCATACTTAATACTACTGTCTTCCCTACACCACAGCCATGGCCTCTTCCCCAAATCAGCTCCACTGAAGTGGAGGGGATCTCAGGCTCAGCCGCTGGGTGTCCAGACCCTTAGAATGTTTCTCTTGCAAAACTGCTTCAAGAGCAGCTAACTTCCATGATGAAGGTGAGAACTATCAGCCCAGGTGGATCCGCTCTGCTGTGGCCCCGGAGAAGTCACCGCCAGCCAGGTCTAGTGGGATCTTAAAGCCAGGATGGTACAATGGCAGACAGGACAAACCCCACCCCCCACCCCCAGGCCCTCAATCCCTTCCTAAACCGCTTGACCCAGCTCAGCCCCAACATGTTGATGGCAGCTTTCTTCAGGTATTGCCATCTGTCACCTGCCCTGTTTCCTGGTGACAGACAGTCCCTTGGCTACTCCACTGAAGGGCTAGTGTGTTTCTGGAGATTCAAAGGTGCTCTGAGCCACAGCTCTGCCTGCCATGATGGTCTTTTGGAGACCCTAGAACTCCAGGTAAGGCTGGGGGAGGGGAAATGATAACCCTAGCCATGAGCCTCCTTGGGAACCTGACCTACAGTAAGATGCCTTGGCTGCCTGTCTTGTGCCCAGTCGGGGGCAAGATACCCATGAGGGTGAAGGCTTTCCCTGGAGAGACAGGTGCAGCTGCAGGGACATCTGCTCAGGAAGGCAGGAGAAACTGTTCCTCTACATTCTGTCACAGCTGCCAACCGGCTAAAGAGAGACTCACTGTTCAGCCCCAGACTGGAAGCAGAGGAGCCACCATTGACTTGGAATGGTTGAACATGTCTGAGAAACTGTCCTGCCCCAGCAAGGAGACCCCTACCCCTCTCTGCAATCTGAAGAACCTATACTGGGCCTGTGTCCACAATGACCCCACTGAGCTCCAAGCCAGGCTGGATGCTGGGGTCTCCCCAGAGGAGGCTTCCCAAGTGGACAGCAATGGGAGGGTGAGATGCCTAAGGGCTTAGCAGGGCATCTGGGACCAGCTTAGCCCCCACCAACATCCCCCCCCCCACCGCAGCTTCCTGGTCTGGTTCCCCAGAAAGTTCCAGAGGCTGCTCCCCCTCTTTAGGGGGGGGAGACCTGTCTTCCCCAGGGGAGGGGGGGTGGGGGGGGGGCCGGGTCCGCTCACCCCCCCCCACAACCCCCCCCCCCACCGCAGCTTCCTGGTCTGGTTCCCCAGAAAGTTCCAGAGGCTGCTCCCACTCTTTAGATGGGTGAGACCTGTCTTCCCGGGGGTAGGGGGGATGGAGTGGGGACAGGTTCTGGGAAGGTACAGATTTAGAGGGCAGGGGTAGTGGAGTCCTAAGGAGAACTTAGTGGAAAGTGGGCTCCAAGGTGCTCTGTCCCCAGACAGGTCTCATGGTTGCATGCTACCATGGCTTCGGTGCCATTGTGGCCCTTCTCAGCTACTGTCCTTTCCTGGATGTGAACCAGCAGGACAAAGACGGAAACACAGCCCTCATGCTGGCTGCTCAAGCAGGTGCAAGACATATCCCCATCCATCACTCCCACCCTCATCCCCCACCCCAACTCACCCCTGCTCTCAGCCACCAGGGCCACAGTCCCAAACCTTGTACAAGGGTCTCTCTGGCCAGGCTTTATTGTCCCATTACCTGGAGATCCCAACTGGAGGTCCTTTCTGTGCAGGTCACATGCCACTGGTGACTCTACTGCTCAACTACTTTGCTGGCCTAGACCTGGAGCGCAGGGACCAGCGGGGGCTCACAGCTCTGATGAAGGCTGCCATTCGAGACCGCTCCGAGTGTGTGGTTGCCCTTCTCATGGCAGGTATGCGGCTCCACTTCCTCTGCTACCACCCACCAGATACCATTTAGCTGCAGCAAGAGAGGAGGGGAAGAACATGGACGGAGGCAAACTTAATGGAGGAAGGCGTGCTATCACCTTTTCACGGTGTGCAAAGCCTGGCTAGCCATAGCTCTGTTTATGGAGGTCCCAGCAAAGTGCAGACACGAGATGGGGAAAGGTGTGGGGTGAGGTGGCACTTTAAACTGGAATCTTGAGTTCTAGTCCTGGTCTCCACCTGAGACCCAGGTGGAGAAACACGGCCACAGCATGATGAAGGCTACCACATGGGGTGACAGTGTGGACTGACTCCAGCTCTCAGGCAGGGCTTGGAGCCTTTGGTGGAGGACCACTCTGTCTGTGGTGTTGTGGGACCCTTATTATTCCCCTTCAGGTGGCTGTTGATGCCCTCCCTGTGCTGGTCTCTCTAAAGAGTCCCTGTCTCCAGCTTTCCCCTTCTCAACCCCAGTGGGTTTAGCAGGGAAGGAAGGACACCCCATGTCTTTCTCCTTTCAAGTGACTGCGTCTCTCTGGCCCCAGAGAGAAGAGCATGAGAATGAAGAAATAAAGTGGGAGGGTGAAATGACCGAACTCACCTCCCCACGCAGCTGTGGCTTGAGCAGTCAGTGCTCCACTCTGCTTAGACGGCCCTATGAGCCTGTTGGAGACCTTACGAGCTCTCTGCAAGTCTCCTTGTCCTGACTTTGGTAGCTTCCTGTCTCTTACACAAAAGGCTGAAGCCCAAGCTAGCCTTGCTGCTCAAGAATGTGCCGTGTACAAACCACAGCTCCCTAACTAATCCCTGTCACACCGGTCCACTTGCAGGTGCTGACCTGAGTTCCGTAGATCCAGTACGAGGCAGGACAGCCTTGGAGTGGGCTGTTCTGACTGACAGTTTCGACACAGTGCGGAAGATCCGGCAGCTGCTGAGGCGGCCCCAGGCAGAGCAGCTCAGCCTGCAATACCAGCCGGAGTGGCCAGCCTTGGCCCAGCTTGTGGCCCAGGCCCAGGCCCAGGCCCAGTCTGCCCCATCCCTCCTAGAAAGGCTGCAAGCTACCCTGAGCCTCCCTTTTGCTGAGTCTCCGCAGGAAGGGGGTGTTCTGGACCACTTTGTGACTGTCACCACCAGCTTGGCCAGTCCCTTCCTCACCACTGCCTGCCACACACTGTGCCCTGATCACCCACCCATGCTGGGCATTCGAGGCAAGTCAGTGCCGGAGCTGTTGGGTACTGCCCCTCTCCCTCCCCCAGCACCCCATCCTCCTCAGGCTGTCCCTGTTCCCCAGGTCTTTGTCCCTTACCAGATCCCTCGGAGTATGCTCTCCCAGTGGCTGCAGTCCAGGGAGAGGTGGGCTAGGCCAGGCTAGAGACAAGAAAGCCACTCGCTATCTGGGGCCTCTTCTGCTTCCCAGCTGCCTCTGCCCTTGGGAACATGCTCCCACCGGATGTACAAGGTCGTCCGTCGCAGACCAACCCAGGGGCTGCCAGCAGGGGATTGGCTACAGTGGTTATGGTGGTAATACCTATACACTGTATTCTGTGTAGTATGGCATAAAGCAGGAGAAAGCAAACTGTTCTCACGTGATATCTTCCAGTTGTATCAATAACCAAGGGTAGAAAAGCATGCATGACATGCCATTTGTCAAAGAGAAAATCTCCCTCGGGTAATCATGGTCTTTTTTTTTTTTTTCCTTTTGAGACAGGGTTTCTTTCTATCTCTTTCTTTTTTAAATTTTTTTAAAGATTTATTTATTATGTATACACTGTTTTGCCTGCATGTCTAAAGAGGGCACCAGGTCTCATTGTAGATGGTTGTGAGCCACCATGTGGGTGCTGGGAATTGAACTCATGTCCTCTGGAAGAGCAGTCAGTGCTCTTAACCTTTGATCCATCTCTCCAGCCTATTTTTTTTTAATTTTAGATTTATTATGCATACAATGTTCTGCCCGCATGTATGCCCACATGTGTCCCTGCAGACCAGAAAAGGGCACCAGATCTCATTACAGACGGTTGTGAGCTACCATGTGGTTGCTGGGAATTGATCTCAGGATCTCTGGAAGAGCAGCCAGTGGTCTTAACCACTGAGCCTTCTCTCCAGCCCAGTAATCATGTTTACAATCATCTTTATCCTCAACTTTGTGTGATTTAGAAGCCTACAAAAGACACCTCTGGGTATTCATAGACTCTTAACTGGCAAAGAGAAAACCACCTGAACTTGAAGAGCAGCGTCCAACAAAAGGGGGCCCCAAACTGAGTGAAAAGAAGGACACACTGAGCACAGACACCCCCTCCATTACCTGACCGCAGACCCAATGTGGCCTGCTGCTGTAAACTCCTGCTGCCTCAAACTGCTGCCGCTCCAAGTTCCTGCTGCTGTGACTTCCTCTTGTGGATTGAACAAGAAAAGTAACTAATGCAGACTGCTTCAGAGGTATCTCCAAAAGCTATTTAACTACTCAGTAAGTGGAACAACAGGATGGATCAAAGAGAGAAATGCAAGACTGTAGAAGAAGGACTGGGAGAAGAAGATTGCAGAGTTAGAAGAAAGTCAGTTCCCAACTGGAAAGCTTTTACTTTTTTGCCAAACAAAAATAATTTGGGAGCTGGAGAGACAGCTCAGAGGTTTAGAACACTGGCTTCTCTTGCAGAGGACTCAGGTTTGGTTCTCAGCACCAAGTTGTAGAGGATCTGATGCCATATTTTGATTTTCTTGAGCACCAGGCACTCACTTGGTGCACAGAGAGATACATGCAGACAACATACGCATATACATAAAGTAAAATTAATTTTGAAAAAGAAGGGATAGAATAATAATAATAATAATTTACTGTTTGTCAGTCTCCAACAGCTTGACCCCTTATCTTATAAAGTCTGGGCCTTAATGAGTAGAAACTAGCATGTTTGCTGGACACAGGGTGGAGATCTGTAGTTCCAGCTACTCAGGAGGCTGAGACAGCAGGATCATTTGAGCCTATGAGTTTGAGACCAATCTGGGCAACACACAGACCCTGTCTAAAGAAAGAGGGAGGGAAAGAGAGGAAAAACAGCAATAATAAGTATGTCAAGAGAAGTTACTGTTGCTAGCTGAAATAGGATTATTGGGCAATGATCTGAAATATCTTCAAAGGGACACTTGGTAACTTTGTGGGGCTTTGTTTGCAAGTTTGGAGTTTTTTCTTTTCCAACACATTTACTGCAGACATGCACTTGTATGCTTGTAATAACTACAGCAACTGCACGTACAGTGCCTACTGTGTACACACATGCATATGTAAGGTGCCTACTGTTTACATGCATACATTTGACCTTCTCAATGATCCTGCAAACTCCAGCTTTAAGCACACCTGGAGCAGAATTTATAGGACTGCCCAAGTTTCACAGTTAGAAACTGGCAGAGACCAAGAACAGGACCTGGCCACAGCAGAGAGCTAGCTCATACTGTCCCCTCTGGAGCATTCCAACAAGGAAGCAGACGTTTTCTCTAGAAAAGGGCTTATAGGCTGACTAGGAGCGGCCAGGCAAATTTTTCACTATTCTAAAAAATCTTTTGATTAAGACAAATAACAAAAACTCCGCATTCCAGTGGGCATGATGGCACATGACTCATCCCAGCAGAGGCAGCAGATCTTTGAGTTTGAAGCCTGCCTGGTCTCCGTACTGGGCTCCAGACCACCTAAGGCTATATGGAAAGACCCTGTTGCCTTACAAACAAACACAAAAGCCCTGCACTCTTAGATTTACATGAAGGTTATTTATGACAATAGTGCATAGACACCTCAGATTTCCCTATTATTACTGTGTTTGTTGCAGTAAATGAGCTCATCATGTCATTATAGTGATTAACCCAAGTCTATACCCGTTCACACTTCCTTAGTTTTCACCTGGCATCCTTCTCTGTCAAGGCAAAATTCCTTGTTGCTGACAATCCAGATAGCTTTGAGTATTTGATACCAGTAATCTTCTTCCTCCCCTCTCCTCTCCTCCCCTCCTCCCCTCTCTTTTCCTCCCCGCCCTCTTCTTCTCTCCTCTCCCCTCCTGTCCCCTCCTCTCTTGCCTCCCCTGCCCTCTCCCCTCACCTCCTCTCCTCTCCTTTCCTTCCCTCTTCCCCACAACTGTCTTGCTCTATATCCCAAGGCTGAGGTTTTCCTTAGGTCTAGCCTGGGGCTCTGGGTTTGGGGTTTTCAGGAGGAAGACTGTCTAGAGAGGTCAAGTCCTCATCAGGTGGCATGAAGGTACTTCCTGTGAACACGACTTGTCACTTGCTGGTGTTGGCCAGTTGTCTGAGGTACTGTTCAGGTCCCCTATGAACTTAACTCTTTCCTCACTTTCTATCCTCTCTGAAGGGAGGCTATTGTAGGTAGGGTAGAGGCTATTGTAGGAAGCCCACACCCAGCAAGGAGGAGTCACACCGCAGCTCCTGGGAGGAGCAGTGTCAACCTCAACACCAAATCTTTGGTTTATACACAGAGACTTTTGACATTTTAATCATTGATACATCTTTTGATTACAAATTATTTTGCTCTTTGAATAGGAACACACACATACACACTCACATGAACATGAACACATGTACACACACACACCACACACACATGCATACACACAAATAACTAGTAAAGTCAGTCTGTTCCTCCCAGAGTGCTCTGAAGGCAGCCACAGAGGGCTGCAGGCTAACACTGCTGTTCTACACCTGTGTGGTCCTCACACCTGTGTGGCCCTCACACCTGTGTGGTCCTGAATGAAGCACTTGTTTCTCTTGCTTCAGGACTCACACCTGTGGAACAGACAGCCACTGGATGATGTAAAGAAAGGGTTCTGCAGACTATAAAGTGCTGTCAGGAGGGCAGGTTTAAGGAAAGGGGTTAAAGAATTGAACTTGACTGAGCTGCTTCTGGGCCTCCAGGGTGGGTATAGACTCCTTTTCCTCCTCATCCAGTACTGAAATCACAGCACATAAAGCCAGCCTTGGCAATGGCCAGCAGAGAAACTGTATCCTCAGCCTTAGTCAATGGTGGCAAAATGCTGTGGCCTGAGAGTTGGCTTGGGATCCTGGGTATGTTATTTGACCCTCCTGAACCACACAGCTCTCATGTGTAGACAGAAACAAGAACAATAAACTTGGGCCTTGACACATGGCTCAGCAGTTAAGAGCACTCAATGCTCTTCCAGAAGACCCAGGTTCAAGTCCTACTACCCACGTGACAACTCACAGCTGTCTGTTCTAGGAGCAGGAGATCTGACACCCTCTTCTGGCCTCTGTGGGCACCAGACACACAAGCAGTAGGAGCAGTGTCAACCTCAACACCAAATCTTTGGTTTATGCACAGAGACTTTCGACATTTTAATCATTGATACATCTTTTGATTACAAATTATTTTGCTCTTTGAATAGGAACACACACATACACACTCACATGAACATGAACACATGTACACACACACACCACACACACATGCATACACACAAATAACTAGTAAAGTCAGTCTGTTCCTCCCAGAGTGCTCTGAAGGCAGCCACAGAGGGCTGCAGGCTAACACTGCTGTTCTACACCTGTGTGGTCCTCACACCTGTGTGGCCCTCACACCTGTGTGGTCCTGAATGAAGCACTTGTTTCTCTTGCTTCAGGACTCACACCTGTGGAACAGACAGCCACTGGATGATGTAAAGAAAGGGTTCTGCAGACTATAAAGTGCTGTCAGGAGGGCAGGTTTAAGGAAAGGGGTTAAAGAATTGAACTTGACTGAGCTGCTTCTGGGCCTCCAGGGTGGGTATAGACTCCTTTTCCTCCTCATCCAGTACTGAAATCACAGCACATAAAGCCAGCCTTGGCAATGGCCAGCAGAGAAACTGTATCCTCAGCCTTAGTCAATGGTGGCAAAATGCTGTGGCCTGAGAGTTGGCTTGGGATCCTGGGTATGTTATTTGACCCTCCTGAACCACACAGCTATTATGTGTAGACAGAAACAAGAACAATAAACTTGGGCCTTGACACATGGCTCAGCAGTTAAGAGCACTCAATGCTCTTCCAGAAGACCCAGGTTCAAGTCCTACCACCCACGTGACAACTCACAGCTGTCTGTTCTAGTCCCAGGAGATCTGACACCCTCTTCTGGCCTCTGTGGGCACCAGACACACAAGCAGTATGGATATACATGGAGACAAAACAGCAATACACATGGAAGAAAGAGAGGCATACCCACGTGACAACTCACAGCTGTCTGTTCTAATCCCAGGATATCTGACACCCTCTTCTGGCCTCTGTGGGCACCAGACACACAAGCAGTGTGGATATACATGGAGACAAAACAGCAATACACATGGAAGAAAGAGAGGCATAAGACCTTTGTGAGGGGGGCTGGAGAGATGGCTCAGAGGTTAAGAGCACCGGCTGTTCTTCCAGAGGTCCTGAATTCAATTCCCAGCAACCACATGGTGGCTCACAACCATCCATTATGAGATCTGGTGCCCCTACTGGTGTGCAGCTAAACATAATAAATAAATAAAATCTTTAAGAAAAAAAAAAAAAGACCTTTGTGAGGAATGAATAGGAACAACGTAGCTCCACACCGGGCCATCCTCGACCTTTACAACCTTTCTACCTTACACCAGAGGAGACTACAACTGTGACAGCTAAGTGACTGGACCAGTGCCACCAGATGACCAGTGGTGACTGGAGCATAAAGCATATGTAACATAGAAACCTTCTATCTCACTGCAGCAGTGTTACCTCTCCCCACAGCCAGCCAGGCTTCCTCTTATTCTTGAGCCTGCTCCCCCCCCCCACCTTCTCAGGGATCACCCTAGCTGTGCATGTCCTGACCAAGCTGGATCTAGACAGTGGTTTCTGCAGAGGGAGTCCTCCCACAATAGGCCTTGCAATCTCTGACTGTCTCCAGGGTGACTGGGCCCTAGGCCTTACACCAAAAAGTTCTCCTCAGACCAAGTCTTACTGGTCCCTTGAGAGCTCCAGACTCCAGCCTGTCTGTATCCTTCATGCTGAGTGGAAAGAGACCAGCATATCCTCCCTGCCAATGCCCAGGTGGTGTGCCTCATCCCTGCCTCTGAGACTTCCACACTTCCTTCATGTCTGCAGAATCTAAGAAACTTGTGGATTCTTGTCACGTCTCATATTGGCTACACGGAGACCTTTGAGATCAGTAGACCCAAGTTCCACCCTGGTCCTGCCTTTCTTAGTCTCCTGGTCTCATAACATCACACAAAGGTCACATAAAACAAACTACTTCCCAGGGTACCAGGCACAGATGTGGCTGGTAGGGAAGCAGGGGTCCTCTACTGAGAGGACATGCCACAGCTTCCCTGTGGTTCTAGTATGGTATATTTTGTTTTGTTTTTGTTTTCGAGACAGGGTTTCTCTGTGTAGCTTTGGAGCCTGTCCTGAAACTAACTTTGTAGGCCAGGCTGGCCTTAAAGTCACAGAGGACCGCCTGCCTCTGCTGGGATTAAAGACATTATTTTGGTGGCCCCTGAAATGTGTAAACAGTCCAGAAACCTCCTCAGACCAGTTCTGCCGTAGCGGCACATCCCTGCCCTAGGCACCCGCCTCTCACCCAGTCACCACAATTCTAGTGGCTGCTCAAGCTGTTCTTTTTTTAAATTTTATTTATTTATTTATTTTATGTGCATTGGTGTGAAGGTATCAGAGCCCCTAGAACTGGAATTAGATAGTTGTGAGCTGTCACGTGGATGCTGGGAATTGAATTCTTTTTTTAAATTTTATTTATTTATTTTATGTGCATTGGTGTGAAGGTATCAGAGCCCCTGGAACTGGAATTAGATAGTTGTGAGCTGTCACGTGGATGCTGGGAATTGAACTCAGGTCCTCTGCGGCAAGAGCACCCAGTGTTCTTAACCATTGAACCATCTCTCCGGCCTTCAAGCTGTTCTTGCATTGCTGCCCTGGAATGTCAGGACTCTATAGGCAGGCCTGTAGGATTAGATAGCCTTGTAAATTCTGAGGGTGTCAGCCAGGTTAGGGGAGACTCCCAGTGAACCTACCCTCACTCCTTTGGGGGTAAGGACATGTTTGTCCCTGCTCAGCCCCAGCTGCCACTCAGCTTAATAAATGTGCGTACAAAAGAATGGTGTTTGGGCTCCAGTTCATTTGATACATAGACAGACTTAGTCATCTGCCTCCACCTCCTAGAACCTGAGGCAGCCCAGGTTCTAGGAAGGCCAGTATCCCCAGTAATGCCAGCACACATGGCAGGAGACCGCTGCTGGGTCTGCAGAAGTCAGTAAAAACATGAAGGACAGAAGAACAGATGGGAACCCTGAGGCCCAGACCAGGGAACCTCCCTCCCCATAGCAATGGCTAAAGATACTCATGAGTCACCACTGTCCAAGTAATAGTCAGTAAAACCCTGAACCCTGAAACCTGTCCTTGGCCCTCCTTTCCTCCCCAGCTTCCCAATTTATTTCTTGCCTGACCTGTTAGGCCTGTCACCGGTAAGTCTTCACCTGCCAGAGGAGCCCATCTGGTGGGGACACCAGTGCAGTGGTTGGAACCCCCTGGCCTCTGCCTTTATTCTTTGAGGCCAGGACTTGTCATTGTGGAGGAAGATCCTGGGTCTGAAAGGAGGACTTGGGAAGAAGGCTTAGCCACTCTCTGAAGCCCTTGGCCCTACCAACACACCTACTTCCAGAAATGTTGGCCATATTCACACAGTATTGCTCCGTGTAGACATGTTATCTGCCAGGACCACAGGACCTGCAGTATCATGGATAAGACATCAACACACAGGATCCTGGGTGAACACAGACAAGCCACACATACAAGCACAAAGCACACGTGCACGCCCTTAGCCACACAGGCACACAGACATCAATGTAGAAAGCAGCACCCCTGCTCCTGGGATCCCACACCCACCGGGCCTCCCACCTGCCTCTCCAGCATCATGCACCATCCTCTTCATTGTCTGTGGGGCACAGTCTGTGTAACCATATGAAACAGGAGTTGGGGTACTTGGGGGAAGCCCAAGATTTATCCTCAAGTCTTCCTTCAGCCCCAGGTGGCTTCCCTGACTGTTCAGAGCTGTGGTTCTGTTACAGAGAAGAGAGGTGAGCAGACCTGGATTCAACTCCTGCAGCCTGTTTACTCCAGACCTATACTAGGGAACAAGGGACAGAGGCCTATGGGCTTGGGGGTCCTGGAGACGAGAGCTTTCCTGAGGGTCCTCAGTCTCAGGCCCTCCTGTCCTGGGAAGGGCAGAGCCTGGGCAAGGATGCTGAGGGGGAGGGAAGGGGCAGGATTTATGGCATTTCCCCTCCAGCTGGAAACAAAGGCAGATTCCTGTGTCCTGCGTGAGCAATCCGGTCCCACCCTCCTGAGTGGCTGGAGCTGAAGGAAATACCACTGGCCTCTGGCCTCACCCAGTCACTTGGCCCCTCTTTTAAACAATCTCCCTACTAGCTTGGGCCAATACTCTCAAATCCCAGAGACGCTCTCTGTCCCATGAACAATGGCCACCATAAACCCTCAGCCTTTTCTAGGAGACAAGGTTCCTGTCACATCACCTCCACCCCCTACTAGTTAGCTTGGTCCTCTCTCGCCCAAGCTCAGCCCCAGTTTTTCCTCTAGAGGGAGGAAAAATCTAGATGCCTCTAGAAGGCCCCGTGCCATTCAAAATGCTCAGCAAGACCCTAGAGACACAGCCCATGAGAGTGGGGATTAGGAGCAACCTGCCACCTACCCCATGGCAAGATGGTTCCCCCCTAGTGAATTAACACATCTTTCCCCCCTTACATCGGGTTTCAGCTCTGGGGAAGTGGGTGGGTGCTACTCTCCTCACTAAGTGTTGGAAAAGCCTGTCTAATACTGATAGGAACCACAGATCTGGCTATATTATTTAAACCATTTCTACATAGTAATGATTATGGGACTCGGTGAAGGCTACATAGGTAAAGTACTTGCTTCAACAGCATGAGGACCTGAGTTCAGATCCCTGGCATTCATGAGAAAAGCCAGGCATAGTGTGTTGTGACTATAATCTCAGCAGACATAGCCAGGTCCCTTAGGCTTGCTGGCCAGCCAGCCTAGCCATGTTGTGAGCTCCAGGTTTAGTGAGAGAGCCTGCCTCAAAACAAACACATAAACAAATAAAAAACAATAATGTGGAGAAGTGATTGAAGAACATACCTGATATCAACCTCTGTCTTCTATATGCATAGGCCCATACATGTACACACACACAAGAGCGCGCACACACACACACACACACACATGAACACATACACAAACATGAACACACACACACACACAAATGCACATGTATTGATCAGAAATTAGAGGTAAATTTATTCAGTGGCTCAAATCCTGAAGTTCTCCTAACCTATGGCCTGAAGCTTTAAGGTCTAGAAACATGCTTCATGTTGCTATTACTACTATTACTATGGTTCTGGGGGTTGACCTAGGGCCTCATGCATGAGGTTCCTCCACTGAGCTATATCCCTGGGCCTTTAAAAAGATTTATTTATTTATTTATTTATTTATTTATTTTGTGTGCATGCATATGTGTTTGTGCATGCATATGTGTTTGTGCATGCATATGGAGCTCAAAGGACCACTTGTTGAGGTTGGTTTTCTCCATTCACTCTGTGAATTCTGCCATGGGATCATTGTGGGTCCCAGGGATCAAGTTCAGGCCATGGGATTTGGTGGTAGAACATCTTAATGATTCCGTTTGCTTACTTTTTTTGAGGCAGGATCTTACCAGGCTGGTCTCAAACTTGCTATGTAACCAAGGATAACCTTGAACTCCTTATCCTCCTGCCTCCACCTCCCAAGTACTGGGATTAAAAGCATGTGCCATCACACCTGGCTATTTTTAAAATTTTGAGATAGAGTCTTGCATTGGTGAGATGGCTCATCGAGCAAAGAAAGATATCTGCCACCAAACCTGATGACCTGAATCTAATCCCTGAGACCCATGTGGTGGAATGAAAGAACAAGCTTCCAGAAGTTGTCCTCTAATCTCACATGCACACCATGGTATGCTCTCTTCTCTCTCTCTCTCTCTCTCTCTCTCTCTCTCTCTCTCTCTCTCTCTCTCTCTCTCTCTCTCTCTCTCTCTCTCTCTCTCTCTCTCTCTCTCTCTCTCTCTCTCACACACACACACACACACACTACATATAATAAAAATAATATCTAAGACAGGGTCTTACTAAGTTATGCAGAGTGGTCTTCAACCCACTCTGTAATTCAGGTAATTCCTACCTCAGGCTCCCAAGTAGCTGAGATTGCAGGCTTGTGCCACCATTCCCAGCTTACTATCAGTTGTTATGGTGGTTTGCATGAGAATGGTCCCCATAGGGTCATATGTTTGAATGTCTGGTCCCCAGTTGGTGGAACTATTTGGGAAGGATTGGTAGGTGTGGCCTTGTTGGAGGAGGTGTGCCACTTCGGGTGGGCTTTGAGGTTCCAAAAATGTCAGTAGGCATAGCCAAACTGCATTTTGATCTAGGTTAAAGTTACTGAGTCTGGGACAGATAAGATTGTCACATAAGTTGGGAGGAGACTTCAGGGTTCTCTAGCCTACATCCTTCATTGTGCAGAGAAGGAAATTGAGGCACTAAAAAAAGAAAAAGAAAAAGAAAAATATCTAGGCCTGGCACCCAGCCCTATGACCCACAGTTACCGATCTTTTCAAGATGCTATGGTGTCTTCTGCCTGGAGCTAAGGATTCTTGTCCCTTCAGGATTCCATTCAGGCTTGCCTGTTTTTAGCAGATAACTGAAATCTGCAGGTATCTATGCCACATCTTCCCTTAAGGAGACCCACAACTCCCCCTTGTTATCCACCTTGTCTTCCTAGTTTGAAAAACTTGGCTGTTCGATCCCCTGCCCCGTGTGTGTGTGTGTGTGTGTGTGTGTGTGTGTGTGTGTGTGTGTGTGTGTTACTCAGGGCCTTGCACATGCTGAGGAAGTACCCCACTACACTACACAACTAAACCTCTTCCATCCCATAATTTGAGAGAAGCAAAACCCAGCTGCATTCCCTGCTTCTTTCCTCCCTTGCTTTGCTCCCCACTTACCCTGGTGCAGAAATGGACACATACTTTGTAGGGCCTGCTGCAAAACAAAAATTATATGTCCTTTGTACAAACACCACTAAGAATCTTATAAAGAATTTCAAGATGGCAGCAGAAAAACATTAAGTCAAGCATGGGGACCTGAATGTCTGTGCATGCCTGGCCTTGTTCTCTCTCAAGAGTGAAGCTTGAACTAGGCATGGAGCAAGCACCTGGAAATGCTAGCTCTGGGAAAGTGGCAACAACAAGATCTCATGTTTGAGGTCAGCCTAGGATTTTAGGGATCTTTCCCAAACAAACAAACAAACAAACAAAGCCCACAGTTAAGAACTTAATGCACCAAGTTGGTCCTAAAAGATCAGAGTTCATTGCTCTGCCTCTACATCAAATCCATTGTCAGTTGCCACCAAAAGGGACTTCCTTGGAGTTCTTTGCACTCCTGAGGATCTGCAAACCTCTGATTCAGGCACTTCTGGGAAGTCCTTCTGACCTCAAAAAAAAATCTAAATCAGAATTCTTTGGGTCTGTTTCTGCTCATTCTGTTCTTGCCGAATGTGGGGAACAGCTGGGCCCTGTGAGCAATGAATTCTTGTAAATTTGGACACAGCCTGTAATTCCTTTTCTATGTCTTCATTGGCCTGAGGCCCTAGTGCTTTCTCCAACTCTGTGATCTCCTTCAACACCCACCCCCTAGCTTCCCTGTTCACTGTGGGGAGCTTGGGTTCACAAGAACTGCTAATGCATGGGTCGGTGTCCAGAAGGCTGAGAGGAGGGGGAGATGCCACCCCATCCACACCTTCTCTTCTACCTCCTGAACCTACTTCTCTCTGTTCTACTTCGCAGGCCTGCCCGCAGAAACTCTCCCCTCCTCACCCTCATGAGCGAGCTCTTGACCTCACTCATGATCTCCTAGATCCGCCTGCCCAAGCAGGCAGGCCTTGGACTTGGGCTACAGAGGTCCCATGGGTCCTGCCTCAAAGCCCTCACTCCCACTCCTTAAGACAGAGAAATGCAGGCTGGAGAGTGAGAGAGGTTGGCCGGAAGCCATAGCAGGCAGGAGGAAGAATGGGAGTGATGGCCATGTAGCCAGGCTCCCAGTTCTATAGCTAATAGAGTGTGACAAAGAGGCCTCTGCAACCTGGAAAGCAGATACGGTAATCTCGTGGTATTCCTATTGGCTCCACGACAGTCTGTTCTGATGCTAAACTTCAGTTGTGCTGGGGTTCTGGAAATTCAGGAGACTCGCCATTCAAGAAGCTGCGGCAGTGTATGTGTGTGTGTGTGGGGGGGGTGTCAGCAGAAGAAGTGACATCAGTCTGAGCAGCTGGCCATTGTCTCCCCCAGCCTCTATTTCTGCCAGAGGCTCGGACTGAGGAACTAAGATAGGCACCATCTTCTTCTGTTTGTAAGATGGTCCTCTGTGTACCGTGCTCATTAACACATGGGACTGAAGACCTGGAAAAGTAACGAGGGTCACAACTATCCTGGAGTCCCAGTTGGTGGATGTACTTCAGAGTCAGTGTGAATACTCACAAGGCTAAGAATAAAACTCAGGTCCTGCCAAGGAAGGCACACTCCCAGTGTGCCTTCACTCACACTCCCAGTCTGTACAGTGGGGTCAGGAGGAAGACTGTCGTCATCACCACACGGTGCTAGCCCTTCTGCCCCATTCCCCAGCTGCATGTCCCAGCCTCTGGAGGCTCCATCCCCTAAATTCTAAAGCCCATCTGGTGGTCGCCCACCCCCACCCCTGCATCCTTTGGTTTGACCTCTCCTCAAGGAGAGGGCAACTGCCATGCCCTGAGGGGCTCGGATCAGACTGACTCAGAACCGACCTATCTGGACCAATCCAGACCAATTTAGCCCTAGGATGAACATTGATGGACAGGACTGCAGAGGAGGGAAGGGGACAAGTACTAAGGGTGAAGGGGCTGGAGCTTGGAGGCAGAAAGATTTAGGACAACTGGGGAGTCCCAAAGGGCGGAGCCAACTTCTGACCAGACCCTCCCAGCCCAAACTCAGCTCTCACTGCACTGTTCCTTAGACACCCCGAGAACCTGGAGTGAGGAAGATGAGGACAGGTACCTTGGCTGATACCTTGTGCTCGTCCCTCTCAGCGGTGCCCACGCCGCTCCCTCCTGAGCCAGGAATCCAGATTTCTGACTCTGGGTGCGTGCTACCCTTATCCCCTCTCAGGGCCCCAGGGTCATGCCTCCCTTCCCAGGACCCACGAGACCCCCAAGGCCCGGGTTCGAGGCCAGTCCCTTGGGGGGGGGCTGGGGGGGGCGCACGCGGGGCGCGCGCGCCATTAGGAGGGAGTGGTGGAGTCGGGCCAGGCAGGAAGAAGCTAGAATAAGAAACATTTTTGCTCCAGCCCCTTCCCAGTCCCGGGAGGCCGCCGCGCCAGCCGCGCGGATCGAGCTCTTCCCCGGTCCCAGGCCGGCTCTGAACGCGAGACCCCGGCCGCCTCCGGGGAGGATAGGCGGGGGTCCCGTTGCCCCATCCAAAGGTGAGTGGAGGTCGCGTTGGACCGAGCGGGGCGACCTGTCCCTAGTCTCAGTGGACTTTTCCTTCAGAGATCTCTGAGATCCTTGCGTTGAGGGGTCAGTTTTAGCTGGACAAGAGAGCCAGCAGCCCCCTGGTGTGGACACATACCTGCCTGTTATGCCACCTGAGAATGGAAGGGAGCTGGACGAATCCGGATGTGGAATGGATAACTTTTACTCTTGCTAGGTGTCCTGAGGCCTTTAGCTTCTCTTCTCCAGTCCCTATTCATTCACTTAACTCTCTCTTCTATGCGTATCTGTGAAAATAAAATAGGTCAAAGGATTCTTCCCCACTACGGAGCTCCCACATCCCTCCAGGGTGCTGGGTTAACCTGGGAGTGACTTTCCATGTTGTTAAAACTCCTCATAGAGCCCGAGTTTCCCAGACCAGCTCTTGCTTAAGGAACTTGTCATTACAAGGCCATATCCTAAATCTTACCTCTAGCCCTAGAAGGTCACAGAATTCTCCTGCCGTGAGTGTCCCAGGCTATCAGTCTGTCCTGGAGAAAGAGGACTGCTCAGTCTGTCCTGGAGAAAGAGAACTGCTCAGGCTGGCTGCATTCTTAGGCCTTGCTCAGGGGACACATTCCTCTGTTTATGACTAGCCTCAGAGTTAAGAGTCAGGGCCAGTCCTCCCTGACCCTTTACTACTCCATCTGTCCTCGGGGTCTGTCCTCTCCCACCCCTCACTTCTGTTTGTGCCCCTACCTGTCTTCTCAGTTATCTTCTATGTAGTGTGTGGTTTTTCTCACACAATCTATCAGATGGGAGATCATTGTGCCCTGCTTGTAGGAGAGAGGCCCACTCCAAGCTTTGGTCAATGACGCCGGGAGACATCATGGCTTGGTTATTCTTTTTGAGACAGAACTGGGTTCAGATTCTCGATTCTCCTGCCTCGGGAGGCCTCTGAGTGCTGGTGTGTGCCACCACACCTGGATATAGTTGAGCTTTTAGTAACACTAAGTGCATCTTTTGTGCCACTTAATACACTACCAAGTAACTCTTCTACATTTACCTAGGAAATGTCACCCTTCCTGCCCCAATCCCATAGCTGTTGGTAGTAGAGACGTGACTTGGTTAGAGCTGGTATGTTGACCCCTGTACTCCATAGGAGTCTCCCCTGTCTGCAGTTTCCCTGTGGGGGATTTCAGTCGCTTACAATCAACTGTGGTGTGGAAATAGTTCATGGAATCTTCCAGAAACAAGGGGACTTTAAAGATTTAAATCCATACCGTCTCCAGAGTGCAGTTAAAATCTCCTGTTACCTTGCCCAATCTCATCTTCTTCATCTCTGTATCCATGCTGTATATGTTACCTGCCTATTAGTCACCTAGTAGCTGTCAGGGCTGTCAGGCTGACTGTGTATCTCTGTGCTTATGCTCAAGTAACCTTTATTTCACTTAACAGTGGCCCAAAGTGCAAGTGCAGTGGTGCTGGCGGTCCAGATACACCAAGGAGAAGAAGGTAAAGGTGCTTCCTTTAAGTAGAGAGACAAAGTTCCTTGCTAAAACATACTGTTGTGGTTGTTGTATTTTCTTATTAATGTTAATGTCTTCTGTGCCTACTATGCAAGTTAAACTTTAGTATAGGTATGTTATAAGTAGAGAGGAACAGGACATGCAGTTTGGCTCTGTCGGTAGCTTCATATACTCAGTGTGCTTTGGGGATGCATTACCTCAGATGAGGGGACCATTGCACTGTGCCACTTTGCAGATGCCTAAGACCCTCAAACCTAAGCTTGTTCTGTGATATCCCACCACTACAGAGTTAATAGGAAATGCAGGTGAATGGCTGCATCTGTAAGGCCCAGTGAGTGTTGAGTGTGGAAGATAGTTCAGTTTATCACAGCACTGTTCTACCTTGGACAGTCAGTATGAAAAGCCCTGATGCTGTGGAAGCAGGAAAAAGATTGACAGCCACCATCCAGGCACACTCTTCTTGGGTCTCACCTGAGCCTCAAACACTGGTAATGGACAGATAGTTTCTGGGCAACTACAACACTGTGCAATGAGACCTGAGGAGGGCATCAGTCAATGACACCAGGGGGACATATTGCTAATGTCTGCTGAGACCTAGGATACCTTTGTCCTGGGGCTCACCTAAGTCCAGACAAATAGAGGAATAGCAATGGATGAGGAAGGATTTGCTGTTGACAACTTACATTTACCCAGTCATATTCAGCACTCCTGTAGGAGTGTTGTGAGTATCCGAAGAGACAAACCACTAAAGCTCAGTGCCTGGCACAGAGTGAGAACTCAGAACAGTTTGCCTGCTGTTGTTTCCCGGTGTTAAGTTAATGTTTAAAAGTCATCTAACATTTGTGATTTCTGGCCAACAGCAGCAATGCTTGTGTCCACAGTAGAGCTTTCGTGCAATTTTGCTAAGAAGTAAAAGAGAACAATAAGACACAGATTACCGCCCCACCCCATGCTTAACCTGAGATGGGACTTGGTTAGTGCCATCACATTCCCAGGGCTGGACCAGGAGTGACTTCTACATTACTGCCATCCTTCACCTATGCTGCTGTTTAGAACTGAACATTTTCTCTCACACCCATGTTTACCCTCATGCCGCAGAGTCACCAAGTCCCTGGTCTTGTGTTACTCTTTCTTCCCACAGAGATGGGGAGGCACCTAAAGGAAGTAAGAATCCCTTCCCTCTGTGACCCATGTCCATCCACACAGCAATGCTCTGTGAAGTGAATGAAAGCACAGGAGACAGGTTTGGCTCTGTGCCAGACACCTTTCTCAAAGCCTGGAGCACACCCAGAAGGATGAGAACTCCCTGGGGAACTGTTTACAAATACATGCTTTTCTTTCTTTCTTTCTTTCTTGCTTTCCTTATTTGTTTGTTTATTTATTTATTTATTGGTTTTTCGAGACAGGGTTTCTCTGTGTAGCTTTGGAGCCTATCCTGGCACTCGCTCTGGAGACCAGGCAGGCCTCAACCTCACAGAGACCCGCCTGCCTCTGCCTCCTGAGTGCTGGGATTAAAGGCGTGTGCCACCAACGCCCAGCGTTTCTTTCTTTTTTTTTTTAAATCCCCTTCTTTCTTGATTTTTGGAGTCATGGTCTTATTATGTAACTGAGGCTGGTATTCCCCATCCTCTAATCTCAGCCTTTGAAGTGTGCTAGATCATAGGTACATTACCACTGTACCCTGCCCAAAGCATGTTTCTTGCTGGCCTCAGACAGACTGCATAGGAGCCTGAAACTGGTGATAGACCAAATGATCTACATAGCTAACCCACTGCATAAGGTTCTGATATGCTGTAGAGAGGCAAGGGGAACACACAGGCAGTTAGGGAGGTGGGCATTTGGTAGCCTCTCCTTAGCTACTTTCTGAGCAAGTGAAGTCCTGCCCATGGCCTTGGGACATGCCCTCTGCATTCATCTCCAGGACCCCTGTAGAGTACTTACCAGAGTCCTAACTGGCTTCTAGCAGGGGCAAGAGGCGGGTCAGCCAAAGGCTGGGACACAGCTGCAGCAGCCCAGGTCTCTATTTCCTCCCCCAGGCCGGGCCTCTGGGGCAGAGGAAACCCAGGCAGGAAGGCCAGGGCTGTCACTGGCCAGAAAGGCCCACCAAGCCCCCCAGCCTGACCCTAGACATCCTGCTCCCAAAGCCTCAGCATCTTGGGTCTACGTTTGGTATCAAGATTAGAACATGGACCTCTGTAGTCTATATGTGACTGTATGTCCAGCCCTTCTCCTGTCATATCACAGGACATGTATGTCCAGCACTTCTCATGACACATAACAGGACACGTATGTCCAGAGCTTCTCATGACACATTACAGGACATGTATGTCCAGAGCTTCTCATGACACATTACAGGACATGTATGTCCAGAACTTCTCATGACACATTACAGGACATGTATGTATGTCCAGCCCTTCTCATGTCTTATCATCACAGGATGCTCCTTGTATTAGCTCCCCTAGCTGGGGATCCAGCCTGTACACTCCACCGTTTAGACAGTCTGTGTTTCTGTCTGACACCTGCCCCTCTACCCTTTGGTCCTGAGGCTTTGAGAAGTGAAGACTACTGCAGCTCCTAAAGCCCTAGTTGATTTGGGTCCTGAGTTCCTGACTGTCATATACCATAATCACTCCTCTTACCAGTGTTCACTAAACTTCTGAGGCAACTCTGCAAAGTCAAACATTCAGGGCCCAAGTGTGTTTCACTTCCTATGCCACTGGCCCTCCCCCCACCCTTTCCCAGGACAAGAAGAGAGAAGGGGGCCCAGATGGCTGTAAGCCAGAGAGACATCTCAGCACTCTCAGGCTGTGCCTGGCTGCTACAAGCCTGAGGATGCAAACAGGGGCTGACCCACTAGCTTAGGACACAGAGAAGAAGGAACAGTGTGGGAGGGAGTTCTAGACTCCTGTGTTAACTCCTGTTACTGTTAGATGATTCTTAGGGAGCCTGGACAGTCTTTCCCCTGGATAAGCCTTACTTCCTCCTCTAAAACCAGAGCTGGGACAAAGAGATGGCTAAACAGCTAATGATGCTTGCCACATGAGCTTGGTGACCTAAGTTTGATTCCCAAAACCCATGTTAAGGTAGAAGAAGGGAACCAACTCCACAGACTTGGCTTCTGACCTACACACTTGTACCTTGGCACTCGGGCCCTTAAATACAGACACAATAATAACTAATGAAATTTAAAAAAAAATAAAAACATAAAACTGGAGATGGGGTTGATAGTTTTTAAGGTCCCCTCTTCAGGCAGGCCCTTTAGACCCTGTCCTTTTTCCAGCCTGCCCTCAGCTCCCTGCTGCTGTGCGTGACTCCAGACTGTCCTATCCAGACCTCAATCTAAACAATCTTGATTCCTGTTGCCGGCCTGGCGGGACCCTGAATGGCAGGAAGTGAAGACAGGAGCCTGTTTATGTTTGAAGCAGCCAGGCATGGGAGGTGGAGGGGCACTGGGAAAGGGTGGGCAGGGGTGGAGGCCGGAGGGATTGGCAAATGGCAGAGGACAGAGAACAGAGGGGAGCTAGGAAAGACAAGTTCTTTCCACTGTAGCTGTGCCTTCTGCAGCCCCCGCCCCAGCCTGCTTCTGTCTGAACCCAGCAGTGGGGCACAGAGCTGGGGTCCCCTTTGGCTCTCATCATTTAAACACAGCTCTTCACCCTTCACCCCCAACAGATGGTTTCCATGGGGAAGTGAAGCAGGACTTCCCTTGCAGGCCCCACCCTAAATCCTGACGTAGGAGTGGGGAGGTGGCTTCTCTGCCTCCCCCAAAAGAACTCCCAGTGATTTCCTCCTGGTAGGAGGGGACCTTGGTCACCACAGCTGTCACATTTTGCAAACCTCACCGCATCTCTTCTCCTATCTCCAAGGACCATGACCTCAGAGATCCCCAGAAAGGGCCTTCTGATGCTGCTGGTGGCCTTGGGCCTAACCAAGGGTGAGTACAGGAGGAGCAGTGTGGAAACAGGGACCTGAATGGAGGAAGGCTATCTAGGCTCAGCTCAGCTTCTGCTGGGGCTGGATCCGAGGAAGTGAGAACATGAGCCTGGCTGGATGGTAGACATAGGCTCCTATAGACTAGTTCCCTAGCTGATCCAACCTTTTATCTCCTTGATACTGACTTGCAGGCTGAGATTCCTTGCAGGATAGCGCCTACATCTTGGGTGGAGGAAGTAGGTGTGTGAACACATAGAGCCCTGGACCTGGGAAGGACCTGTAGCAGGGAGAGAAGGTCCCAGCACAGGCAGTAGACCAAAGCTGGCTTCTCCCAGTCTCTACTGCCTGCGTGTTAGGGATAAGGATCTGAGGGAAGGACAGTAAGGGCATGGAATTAAAGGACGGAGGCTTGAGAGCTTTGTCTGTGAGATCAGAAGGGATGGGACAGTAGGAGGAAGTGGCTAGCCTCCTCAGAGTGCCTGAATTTCTCATATATCTCCCAGGAGGCGGGGTGAAGGCCTCCAGGGATCAGCTGGTGAACTGCACTTGTGAGAATCCACACTGCAAGAAGTCAACCTGCCAGGGGGCATGGTGCACAGTGGTGCTGGTTCGTGAGCAGGGTGGGCACCCCAAGGTCTATCGGGGCTGCGGGAACATGAACCAGGAACTCTGCTTGGGACGTCCCACAGAGGTTTATAACCATCACTGCTGCTATCGATCCTTCTGCAACCACAATGTGTCCCTGGTGCTGGAGGGTAGGTCCAGTGGCTCTTCTACTTTTCCCCATCTTTGCAGACCCTGTCTTCTCTGCCCCATGTTCTCTTCACCCCTGGCCCATACAGAGAGGGTGTGGGGAGGCGGGATGCTGGGATCTAACTGTCAGAGTGGTCTGGCTCGGGGTCAGGAGAGCTGGCCTGGTGGAGTTGGGACTCAATGTCCCCCTCCCTGCAGCCACCCAGACTCCTACGGAGAAGCCACCTACGATTTCCCCGCTGTTTCTGATCTTGGGTATCGTGCTGGCTTTGCTGGTCCTGCTGGCTTTGGCTGCTCTGGGCTTGTGGCGTGTCCGGCGAAGGCAGGAGAAGCAGCGGGGTCTGCACAGTGACCTGGGCGAGTCCAGCCTCATCCTGAAGGCATCGGAACAGGGAGACAGCATGTTGGGGGTATGGGCCTGGAAACAACCTGGGACCCAGGGTGGAGGGTGAAGCAACAGTATAGGGGTTACCCAAAAATGACAGTGAGAACCAATCAGTGGGGCAACAGTGGGATGGTGGTAGAGAAAGGAAAAGGGGGCTGTGGCTGATGGGGCCAGCCACTCAGTGCCTACTTGGTATCCCTAGGACTTCCTGGACAGCGACTGTACCACAGGCAGTGGCTCGGGACTCCCCTTCCTGGTGCAGAGGACAGTAGCCCGACAGGTTGCACTGGTGGAGTGTGTAGGTAAGCAGTGAGTGAGACAGGGATGGGGACCAAAAGTCCAGCCTGGGCCAGAATAAGAAATTCCACTGGGCAGAGAGTGGGTTGGTTATGGGCCAAGGATAGGTCCTTCTGCAAGCAAAGTTATGAGATGATAAGCTAAGAGTAGCCCAAAGCTTGGGCAAGGTATGCATTAAGTTATGTATAAATTCAGGTTTTGGGAGAGCAAGATGGCTCAGAAGGTGAAGACATGTGCTATCAAGCCCAATGGCCTAAATCCAATCCCTGGTGGGTACTTGGTGAAAAGAGAGAACTGTCTCCCACAGTCATCCTTTGACACATACACACACAAAAATAAATAAATGAAATTTTTAAAAATTAAAAGCTGGGTGTGGTGGCTTGTGCCTTTAATCCTAGCACCCAGGAGGCAAAGGCAGATAGATTCCTGTGAGTTCAAGGCCAGCCTGGTCTATATGGCAAGTTCCAAGTTGGCCAGTGACACACTGTGAGACCTTGTCTTAAACAAAAAAAAAGGAAATAAAATAAGGAAATAAAATAAATTTAGGTTTGCAGAAGGGGTCTTCGTAGCATCCAGGGTTGAGGGTGGGATTTCTAGGACTGTGTGTGTATCTAGTGTGTGACCCTTGATCTTCCCTTGGTCTTTGTATTAGGAAAGGGCCGATATGGCGAGGTGTGGCGTGGTTCATGGCACGGCGAGAGTGTGGCCGTCAAGATTTTCTCCTCACGAGATGAACAGTCCTGGTTCCGGGAGACGGAGATCTACAACACAGTTTTGCTTAGGCACGACAACATCCTAGGCAAGGAGGGGACGTGTCTGCTATTCCAGGCCTATGTGTCCCAAGCCCCTTAGCTCATGGCTGGAATACACAGAACTCTAGGCATTGGTCTAACCCTGAGTGACTTCCAGATCCTCTTTAGCCTTAACCTCTGATTCCAGCCACGTCATCAGTCTCTGCCCCACCCCCTCTGATCCCCTCAGCCCTAGGTTTCCCTCAGCCACTCCTTCCTCCTTGGTGCTTTGACTGAGTCACACCCTTTTACCTACAGGCTTCATCGCCTCCGACATGACCTCGCGCAACTCAAGCACGCAGCTGTGGCTCATCACCCACTACCATGAACATGGCTCCCTGTACGACTTCCTGCAGAGGCAGACGCTGGAGCCACAGTTGGCCCTGAGGCTAGCCGTGTCCGCGGCCTGCGGCCTGGCACACCTGCATGTAGAGATCTTTGGCACTCAGGGCAAACCAGCCATCGCCCATCGTGACCTCAAGAGCCGCAATGTGCTGGTTAAGAGCAACTTGCAATGTTGCATTGCAGACCTGGGTGAGCAGGAGGGGAGGGGTGGAGAGCCACAGGTGGGCGGGGCTTGTATGCTCAGCTCTACCTGTTTCTGTTGTGGAGAGAATTAGAGCTTTAAACCCTATTTCCAAGCTGGGAGAGGCAGGTGAATCTCTGTGTTAGAGGCCAGCCTGGTCTACAGAGTGAGTTCCAGGACAGCCAGGGCTACATAGAAAGACCCTGTCTCATAACAAATAAATTGTTTCCAGTCTAGACTCCTCCACCATTTACTCTACTTCCAGAAAAGGGATAGGGAGGTAGGAACCTGTTTCTCACCCTGATACTCTACTTCCAGTAAAGGGATAGGGAGGTAGGAACCTGTTTCTCACCCTGACTATCTGAGATCACAGCTCCTTCTAACCCACCTCCAAGTTCTACTATGTGAAATGGGTATCATAATGCCTACTTTGCCTGTTGGGTTCTTGGGAACCCTGAGAATGCTATAAAGGGGGCAGATGCTCTCCCTCTGGCCTCTGTCTGTAATCCAACCCATCTCAGGGCAGGTCCCGGCTGCCCTGCTCTTCTGTGTCTATCTGTTTCTATCCTAACTGCATCTGTCTCTAGCCTGGGCTTCCCAGTATGGGAGTGGCTGCCCTCTGTGGGAGTCCTAGAGGTCTAACCAGTCAAATACCCGCAGGACTGGCTGTGATGCACTCCCAGAGTACTGATTACCTGGACATTGGCAACAATCCCCGAGTGGGTACCAAGAGGTACATGGCACCTGAGGTGCTGGATGAACATATCCGAACAGACTGCTTTGAGTCGTACAAGTGGACGGACGTGTGGGCCTTTGGCCTAGTGCTGTGGGAGATTGCCCGGAGGACCATCATCAATGGTGAGGGCCCACCATGTGCAGGGTGTCCCCAGGGTTTGAGACTAGGTCTCCCAGCACTCCTTAACTGCTATGTATCAACTACTTCAACACAGATGGACTTTTAAAGTTCACCTGGGCCTGTGAAGATGTAGATCTGGCCTTGAAGTCTTCAGTTAGAAACAAACAAAATCCCATAAATATCAGAGCTGGGCTATGGCTCAGTGGTAGGATTCTTGCCTAGCATGTTCACGGCCATGGGTTTTGATACTGAGCATGGGGTTGGGTGGGACAAGGAAGCAGCTAAGCTAGCATTTATTGCGCTTAACTATGTGCCACAACACGTACTCTGAAGGTGTTGTCTTATTGAAGTCTCCTGTTTGGTAGGAGGTGGCATTGGTCAGTCGGATTGCCTGGATTCCATTTCAGGTTTTGTTATGGCAGTGAGCGCTGTAGCCTCTCTGTATCTACTTCCTCATTTGTGGAATTAGAATTTTTTTTTTGAAAAAAAAGCTGTAATTACAGACATGAACATATTCTAGAACAATATCTAGAAGCTGGGCTTAGTGACCCACACTTGTAATCTCAGTACTTAGGAGGCAGAAGAATTGATCCAAGTTCAAGGTAAGCTGGGTCCATATAAATAGTGAATTTTAGATTAGCCAGGCCTACACAGAGACCCTGCCCCCACTCCCCAAAAAAAGAATGAAAGAATCAAAAAAGCAAACAGTGCCTAGAGCTAAATATTAGTGGTCATCATGGTGCCTATATAATATTCCATTTTATAAAAGAAGAGTTAGAAGGCAGGCTTATAGCTCTCTAGAGGCAGCATCAGGTCTTAAGCCAGGCCACCGGATTCTGGGCCAGTTCCCTCTGTCACTGTGGCAATTACATGTTGACCCTTGATTCCTTGATTTCTTTGCTCCCATGTAAGCTGTTTGGTATCTGGGCTGCCTTCCTATTGCAGCCTCATTATTCCAGTTGATTGCCATGGGAGACCCTAACTTGGAAAGGCATCTGCCTGCCCTGTGCTGCCCTGTACAGCTCTGGGGTTGATGGCTTCTCAGAACGGGGGTAGATGGAAGACCACAGATTGACTAGACAGCTAACTGCTGCAATGTTAGCCTTTGTGGAGGCTGTCTATGATCAGGGTTGTCAGGAGTCCTGAAAGTTCAGGACGAGCCCCAGGCCAGACTTGAACCCTGCTCCTTGGGAGCAGAGATTCCCTAGTTTCCTGAACATATACTAGGAGCCAGCCTTTTGCAACTTCATTGTTCCTCAGTGGTCATCTGTTGACAGCAGAGACCCAGGTGTCACCAGTCTCTCCTAGGGTTCTGATCCCTGGGTATGAACCTCCAGAGTTAGCTCTGTGAGGCTGGAGCTGGGGAAAGGCACCTAGATAAAATCAAAGAACTCTTGGGCCTGGCTGCAGGCAGGGAAGGAAGGGTTGATGGATTGGCCTTGAGCTCCTGGGGCGGAGGGGAAGCGCTGTCAGCCCCACGCAGACTCCAAGCCCATTATAAACACTGTAATCTGGTGTCAGCCCCGGCACTGATTAAAGGCTCATTAGACACGCTCAGGCCTCTGCAAATCGCTGATTAGGGCGCCAGCGGCACAGGGGCGGCCTGGAAGCCTGCCATGGGGAGAACAGCTGGTGAAGGCTTCATTGAAGTTGTGGCCTACATGGTCACAAAAGCAGCCTGGGGTTGGGAAGCAGGAAGAGGCACGGGACTGCCTCTGATGCCCCAGGCACACCTTTCAGCAAGGCTCCTATTTAGGTGCCCACGGGGTGGGGACACTGCTTGCTGTGGCTTCTGCAGAGTCATGAACCTTCCCTGATGGTTAGTAGATATTATATAGACAAGGGGATAGATTGTTTCCTCTTAGGAGAGGCCGTTTTTCTGTCCTTGTTCCAGTCCTACCTTAGATGCAGCTAAGAGGTCAGAAGCAAGGGATCTGGTGTTGGATTTCGGCCTTATGTCCCACCTCTGCCACTCACTACCTGTCGATCCTTAGAAACACGTCACTGTCTTTAGAACTACTGTCCTGATTAACAAAGTGGAGTTACAGTGTTACAGTCCCCATAGCCTGATGTGAGGATCCTATGCAGAGCGCCAAAGACCCTGCCTCTGGATGTGCTCTGGAACACCAGCTCTTTTGTGTAGTCAAGGAGTGGTACCCAGGCCCGGGATGGAGGACAGCTGAGGAAGATGGAAATGAAATCCAGCCTAGGAAGCTAACAAGATGGTTTTAAGTCCTGAGTCTGCTGTGACTGACCAGCTAAGCAATCTGAGTCGGTGCTTTTTAGCCTAAGCCTCCTCTGTGACATGCTTGGTATGCTACACACAGTATGGTGCTGCCATGAGGACTAATGGGAACACATGTAATGTGCTTATTAAGGCAAACACCACCTGGAAAGTACAAAATACATAGTAGTAATTCTGTGGCGTGCACACAGTTGTTATGTTGTAGGATAGGATCCCTCTAGAGAACAATATGGTCAGGCAACTAGCTCCAGGTCCCTTGGGATGTAGGCCAAGCAAAGTTGTCCTCTGGGTGCTCTTTGGTTTCCTTAAGTTTCAAGTAATTGCCCTATCCCCCTTAAATCCCCAGGCATTGTGGAGGATTACAGGCCACCCTTCTATGATATGGTACCTAATGACCCCAGCTTTGAAGATATGAAAAAGGTGGTGTGCATTGATCAGCAGACCCCCACCATTCCTAACCGGCTGGCTGCAGATCCGGTAAGGCCTCTGCTCGGGCTGGGCTGAGGATGGACTGGGCTGGCATGGGTGGGGGTTGATTCTCAGCTGGGATTTCTGGGTTCAAGATCTTGACTCTGTAGCCTGTGCTTCTTGGATAGATCTTGGGTGTCCTGGGTGTTCCCCCTCATATACCCAGCTTGTGGATACCTTGCCCTTCTTGGACCTTCTGACCAATCTAAGATTTTTTTAGAACCTCTTATCTACCTGTGGGAATCAGAGGGCCTCTGATTTCTCCTATCAGGTTTTTGTTGTTGATTTTGATTTTATTTTTCAAGACAGTCCA